TTTTGTATGAGGCGATAGAGGAAATCTTGCATGATCATTTTGAGGAAAAAGTAAAAGGACCAGTCTTTAAACTCTATACCTCAAAGATAGAAAAATTGGCCGTCGAAGTTCGTGGCCAGAAACTAGAGACCGAGAGCAGGTCACAGATTGGAACTGACACAAATAGTGGGACTAGAGAGTCCGTGAAAAACCTGTTGGAACAGATGAGACGGTTTTTTTTTCTTTAAAAGTGGCCTATTAAGTGGTTATTTAACCTGTCTGTAGTCCGATAAATCTTTGTTGGATTTAACTTATAAATACATGCAATAATATTTGCTGAAAGTAGTTTCAAAAAGTTTTTGTTAGTAAGTTGGTTCAAATTGAGATGGCCCGAAAAAAATCGGTTAGGTTGGTGGTGGTTTAGTGAACGTAAAGATTCATGATAGTCCTAAGGTCGCCAATACTGATACGTTCTTCGGTCTTTATTATAATCGACAGTAGAGAGCCAGCTGTTGGTCGATGAGGTGACAGACCGAAGTGGACGTTCTGTCAGCGGCATAGATTTGCCGCTTAATCTGGCCTGCTGTGTTTTAGCAAGAGGTGCTCTGGTAGCACTAAGTTAGTTGAAAGGTCCGCCAGCCACGATGCTCCAAAGCGTTGGAGATAGTTGTGCTCTGGCCTGATGTTGGCGTTTATAACGTCTTTTTTGTGGCACTCGGTCGTCTTGGTGGGCCAAGCTGAAGATGAGTGTATGTCACTTGCCCATTAAAGACTGACAGAGTAGAGGGTGGTAGAGGATCGTTGATAGCTGGGGTACTACTTTATTTTACTACAATAAGTAAAATAAACGCTTCTTTATATTCTTTATAAAGTGTACTGTGTATAGTGTAGTTTATTAATAGTTTGTTAATTGTTATTTACATCCTGGCAACATCCCAAGTCCCAAGAGTCTCGCGTGATGGAAGTAGTTATGCTAACAGTTAGCGATTACAACGTTTTTTTGGTATTTTGCTGTATATATTAGTGAAATAACCGTACTTGAACAAAATATTTATTGTGATTTAAAAGTACGTAATCGAACTATCACCTTCTTTAAAATAGTGGTAGTGCATGTTAATCTAGACTATGTTAATCAGCAAGATTATGCTCTTCTATCATACTTTAAATTTAAAAACTTTCTTGCCTCTCATTTATTTTAGAATTTTTAAATAGTTTTAAATTACTGATAACCATTAATATATCTTATTAAAGTACTTACGTTATTAAACGGATCTCAGGAATCCATTTTTAAAGGATTATCCAGGAAACAAAACAGTATGCTGGTTTTTTCAACAGTTGATTCTGAAATAGTGAATAAGAAATTTTTTAAGTTTTATTTTTTTGTATTGCAGAAGATAAAACAATATTTAAAGGGTATTATTAGCCTACTAGTCACATTTGATATTTTTCCATATGTGCACCCCGAGTATTAACATAACTACAGTAAAAATTACGTAATTGGGCAAATACTATGTGCATGCAAAATCATTTTTAACAAAATATAGAAATTTTCCAACAGTTTCTCAAACAACCAAATTAAAGGTGTGAATAAATTTTATTTTTGTCCATTGTTACAGATTTTTCAATAACAAAAAGAAGTATAAGAAAAAAACCTTTTTTTTGCTGTAAATTTTTCACCATTTAAAGAAAAATCGTCACTTACAACAAGAGAGAAATTAAAAAAAATAAAAGGGTGTGGGTCTCGGGACCTCCGATGGATGTGAAATATTAAAGAATATGATATTATACTTGGTAGTATTTGATTGTCTACGATAAAAACAGGAGTTTTTGTCAGATAAGTGCCATCGTCTCCAAGGCTATTTTGCGGCCCGAGGGACCTGAGAAACAAGGCCTGAGGGACGTAAGGCAGCCACGGAGAAATAGCGCTTATGTGGTGAATCCTATTTTTTCTACCGAGCGCATACCAGCCACTCAAAAACGCGCGAGGTAGGAAAAGTATCTATTTTTTTGACTTTAAATAATCTCCGTTTCATATTTCACTTTAAAAAGACAGTTTATTTATGGATATTTATTTTTATCACTGAATATTATAGATTAGGAAAAAGTAAATTATGCTTACATTTTTTTTGTTCACTAACATTTAAACAACAAGAACGAGAAAGTACAACAATATACGGTGAAGAGTACTATACTACCTACCTACACATAGGTACATGCATATGCTTAACAAACGTTGGTGTGTATTACTCTTTCTCTGTGTCTTTTCGGATACCTGCAGTGCGTAGTTCCGCACGTTCGCTAATTTAGTTGGCTCTTTACTACAGACAGGTTAAGACGGAGTTTGAATAAGCAGAATTGGAAGACCCCAGGAAAACTTTGCATTATGTTCAAGTATGGATGTTTAAAAATAATCCTGTTTACAAAAAAGAAATTTTTTTATAAATAATAAAAATCCTAACATTAATGCATCATTTTCTACAAGCGCAAAATATAAAAAAAAACAATGAAAAAGGCCTCCTTGTACGAGTACAAGAGAGAGAGAGAGAGAGAGAGAGAGAGAGAGAGAGAGAGAGAACAAGCATGACAGCAGACAATCAATGTCTCTCTCTATCTCACTTTACTTTTACCGGTACTGCCAAAATGCCTTTTTCATTTTTTTCTCAACATTTATGGCTTGTCGAAACAAAATTAAAAGTGCTTATTGATAAAAAATTCTTCGCCCTACTCGCTGATATTTTTATTTTTTCTGTATATCAAACAGTTAAAAGATATAAGCAAAACGAACTTTAAAACACAATTCTGCACAATTTCAACACTAGACCACTCAAAAATAATCATAGCTATTTCTTCTGAATTCGGCGGGCTTAATTACGTACAATATAAAAAAGGCCTAATTATCGATCAATTTTCTAATTCAGAAGTTTCTTGGTTAGTATCGATAAATAATAAGAACAAAGCTGGGAGTAGCACAATCAATAAGGTCCCTGACTACCAATCCAAAGGATGTGGTTTGATTCTCGGAGCTAGTAAAATTTAAAAATCTTATTTGCACATATATAATATACATGCATATACGGGGAGAATCACGTCAACTGTCCCAGCGCCGTGGTGGACGGCCCGCGCGGGCGTCAAACACGACGTTTTCAACTCGTCGTTTCGGTGTCAAAACTTTGATAAAAAAATTATCTAAAAACATATTCTTACGTATTTTTTCCTCAGCTTTCCAGTGGTGGCATCAGTTTTTCGAAAATTTGCTCCCATAACCTCGAAAAATGCACTTGTTTGAAAAACACGTTTTATCTCCATGATCTTCAACTTTTGGAATTTTTTTGATAGTCTAGATCGAAAGATGAGACATTTTTACGTAGATATCGACAATAAAAAAAGAGGGGTTTTTCGTTTTTATAACGTATTTAAACGACGAACGAGACGATGCGAGCCGCGGCGGCCGGGCCACGCGCGGCAGCAGCGCGTCCGCCGTGTGTCGTCTGCTACGGTGAGTCTGTTTGGCTATATAATATATAATGTAGTAGTGGCGATGTAAACAACAATTAGTTAACCAGGGCTTACAATGGATAAATAATAAATGTTTTGATAAAATTTATTCATATATACAACAATTTTATAATAAAGAAATAAATAATGATTAATATTGATTAAATATTAGATATTTACATAAATAAAGCAAAAAATAAAAACAAATTTGTTTTACTTCGTTCTCTTTTTCTTTTTAGGCATGGTAATCGAAGTGACACTTGTTTTACGTTCTTTCAGTTTCGGAAAAATTTCATACTGGTTACTCAAAGAAGTTTTCTTCAACATTAATTTATTATCCTTAATGGGGATAAACGCATGATAATTCAGTGTCCCTGGAATCAGTTTCGCACTGGAAATTTCGTCTTTTAATCTCAAGGAAGTTTCTTCGTAGTCAGATTTGCTACTAAAAAAACCTTCGTTTCTTTGCAGTAAAACCTACGAAAACTTCGACTTACGATAGCACAACCTCAAGTCATAAAAATAATAAATACTAATATTTAATTAATCAATCGAAACTTGTTGCGAAGTGCAAACCGTCACGGTTAGGTGTATTTGTTTACATCCAGTCAGAGAGACGGTAGCAGACGGCGCGCTCCTGCCGCGCATGGCCTGGCCGCCGCGGCTCCCATCGTCTCGTTCGTCGTTTAAATACGTTATAAAAACAAAAAACCCCTCTTTTTTTATTGTTGATATCTACGTAAAAATGTCTCATCTTTCGATCTAGACTATCAAAAAAATTCCAAAAGTTGAAGATCATGGAGATAAAACGTGTTTTTCAAACAAGTGCATTTTTCGAGGTTATGGGAGAAAATTTTCGAAAAACTGATGCGACCACTGAAAAGCTGAGGAAAAAATACGTAAGAATATGTTTTTAGATAATTTTTTTATCAAAGTTTTGACACCGAAACGACGAGTTGAAAACGTCGTGTTTGACGCCCGCGCGGGTCATCCACCGCGGTGCTGGGACAGTTGACTTGATTTCCCCCATGTATGTATATGCTATACATGCAATACATATATAGTATTTAATTATTATACAGTGATACTCTTCTATATAGCTATATATACGGGTAGTACACTTTACAAACGAGAGAGGGGTGGCAGTAAGCGCGTGGAGAAAGAGACAGAGAGCCGAGCCGAGCCGAGTTAAATCGGAAATCGTGCCATTGCCTGGGTCGTTTCATCGTGTCGGTTGAACCCCCAAGCGTGCCAATAGATGTTTTACATCAACAAGCTCACATGAAACCTAAATTTAAACTGAAGAAGTATTATGTTACACAGCTTATTTTAATTTAATAGGATTGTTTGTAAAATGAGATAATCCTAAAATACAATAAGAGTCTCCTTTTCAATATTTTTGATTATTACTATTCGATGTAATTGAGTTTTTTATTATTATATTATACGTACCATACTTAATATGCATTTGTCACTTATAAAGTTTTTTGATTTAAATGTACAAATTATTTTTTTATTCATTTCAGTGCAACGGCTTAACGATTACATTCGGCATTACGAGCCTTTGACTTATGATAGTCGAGAACTACACAAAAATCATTTGAGATTAAAGCGCTTAGTGCCAGGTGATGATGCCCTTCATCTTGAATTTCGCTCTTTTGGTCGAGACTTTAAAATAAAAATGAGGCAAGATGACAGCATGTTTAGTGACAATCTTCTAATTGTTAACTCGAAGAATATACCTGTGGAACTCGATATTTCTCACATCTACCTAGGACACATAATAGGTACGTTCGTAAAATTTTTTATTTTTGTACAGTAAAATGGCCAATTGTATTCTCATAAAATTACTTTTGACAAAAATAAAGTCAGGTTAGTTTGATAAGTTAAATCAAAATTGTCCAAGAATTTCTGAAATCCTTATATTGTGTCAATAAATTGGGTTCTTTTAAATAAATCATCAGTGTTGGAGAGGTTTGAAAGCACAATGAAGAAATAAACAAGTTTTTTGGTTTTGCATACATTTGTTTATTACTCGTCTACTGTTTAGTACCAGTACATTTACAAATTAAACTAACTCATTCTTACTTTTGATTGGTAATAAATGTAATTATCACATTAAATAAATTAACATAATGTTTGAACGTTAATGTCCCCCTAAAGTTATACTGAAAAGTACGGTTGGTATTTACAGTCATTTATAGCTAAAAAGTGATCTTTAAATTGTAGCAAATGATTTATTGAAAAAAAAAATAATTAAAGTGCATTCTTACATACACACGTATAGTGCATTTTCAAATACACCCACATATTCATATACACACTAAACACATGCTATAAATACCATGCGTTGACCATATATATGTTTTTTTATATTATAGTGTCATACGTCCACGTACACAAAGTCCACTACTCTGGGCACTTGACCCTTTGGAAAGGGACACAAAAAGGGATGGGAGACCTTTTATTACAGGGAAAGGGATATGTGGAAATTAGGCAATTTCACTGCAAGAAGGCCGCCTTTTCCCTTCACCTAGACCGCGATTGGATTCCTAGCCAGTGTGACTATTTTGAGCGAATTCCTGTGCAACTTTTCATAAACGCTTTTTCACTGTGCAATGCTCTTTGCTGTCTACCGCGTACTGACCTGTAACAATGCCGACTAAAAATACAAAAAGAATCTTATACTCGAGCGTACGATGAACGTAAAAATTAAGAATAAATTTTAATAACTAATTTTAATAAAGAGCTAACTCTGCACGAGGAATTGAAGCTGAGAAAAACCACTATTGCTAAGAATGTGACTGAGCGAAAAGTTTTATTCCTGCATATGTTTGTTGATGCTACGAGTCAAGTTTACTCACAAGATATGCACGCAACCATAAAGCAACTACGAGTTCATCATTCTTATTATCATAAAACATTTATTAATAGAGATACAGAGTGTAACCATCGACATGCTAGTGCATCCAACGTGGAGCCAACACTGACTTATGCTCTTCGTACATGTTAATGGGTACTTTACTTTCGTACGCAATATATTTTTAAGTGCTCGTCTACCCATACTACAACAAGCAACAGCGCTATGACGCTGTGGGATTGGAGGATTCAGTAGCACTAATTTCAAACAAAGAAATAACCCACTGGATACAAACTTCTAATTTCTATGTAGTAATTACCATTTTTTTGCTCTATTGGGAGTTCTATGGGTATTCAGTCTATGGGTATGCCATTATTTCTTAGTGATTAGAGTTTGACCATTAAAAGGCTTCGTCCACTGTATTACTTTTCTTTCAAACATGCATTCGAGTGGCCAGAAAACGCACATCCTCTTCCTTACAGTAAAAAATTTTCAATCTTTATCTTTGTAACTTAGGTCTTGGATTTGATTTATAAAATTACATGTGATCTGAATGATAACTAACATTATGGCCCGGCTGCTATATGTGCAAAATAATTTATTTGTACTATTTTCTTGCTTTGAATCATCATTTTGACATAATTTTTTAGATGAACCTGGTAGTCAAGTATTTGGAAGTATAAGCTATGGCATCTTCCATGGAAAGATCATATCACCGCGTGATGGTGTTTGGTGGGTGGAAAAAGCACACTACTACTTTCCGAGGCATGAGCACAATGAAAGTATTCACTCTGTAATTTATCACGAGGCTGATATTGAGGATCCGTACGAACAAATTCGAACAGGTACACATAAATTTCTTATTTGATGACAGGTATACTTATACTAAGATACCAATAATGAATATTATTTTAATTTATTAATATTTTTATTTAAAAGCATATTACTAATTCGTACCTTTTTTTTCGTTTTATTACGACACAGAATCTATTTGTTTCTTCATTAAGTAAATTACAAATTCTATTGAAAACAAACAACAAAAAGTTTGTAATTATTTAAATTTTTAGGGTGAACATCACTTTTGACATGCTTTATCTCTATAATTAGTGATTTTAAAAAAAATTTATTTGCCATCAAATATTATATGTAAAAAAATTGTTAAATGAAATAGTGTTCCCCTTATGAAATACGATGAATACTTATATCCCTCCAAGTAGAATAATATGTCATTGTAAAATGCTACATGTTATAAAAATTCACTTTGATAAATGTCCTAAGAGTAGAATAAAAAATCATTTTTTAGTTCGATAAATATTATGAATAGTCATTGCAGTTAGATTACAAATAGAACACTTGCATAATAAAAAAAAGGTTTAAATTCTTTGATTGAAAGCTCAAAGACTTTTTGAATTGCCATTATATCTTACTGCACATTTAAAACATGATTTTATTACTAAGCTCTTAACCTAATTGTCTATGTTAATAAAATTAATTTCTTATGGAGTATTAGTTCAGTATATTGTTGTATCTTGTTCATCACTTACTGCACGTCATTCCTCAATTATTGATTCAAACTACTATGAGTGTAAACATGACTTTAAAAATAATACATGTCACTAGAATAGATGTATTTTTTTTTACAAAAACTTGACTGTTGGGCTGTACCGTCAGAAAATTTTGCGTTGCAGGTTATTAAACAAAGTATTACAAACTTTCATTAAAAATCAAATTTACTTTGACTCTAGTCTGATGTAAAGTAAATACTTTTTCTTTATTATGAGTGGAAAGTGTGTCTACAGGCACAAAATATTACTGTGCACCTTTACAAAGAAAATAATTGTTCGTACCTTAGATATAAGTATACGAAAAACTCGACCTTCTGGCAAGATTTTTTTATTTTACGCCTGTAGTACGAAACAGTCGTTTTTGTCACGAAAAAAAACTTTATATATGTTGCACACAAGAAGTCAAAATATTTTGAGTTATTAGTTAAGACGACTACGACGACGACGATAAAAAAAATTAAAAAAAAAACCTTTTTGGGTTTTTGTAGCAGGCATACGTCATACCAACGTCTTATTTATTTATTTCAAAAATTAACGGGTAAGATCCCTTTACAAAATATAACTAAATTTAGTGGTAACACAACGTTACAATCTACCATCCACGTTTATAAATAACGATCATGTCTGCCACCGCCCCACACACTGCATCAGCCGCCTCTTAAAGGCAATAATATTACTCGCATCTCTAATTTCAGAACGGAGAGAATTCCATACTCTTCTTAGGTGAGGCAACGCAGAGCCGTTTATATAATTGCGCACTGTGTTGATTTTAAGCAAAGGTCTTACATTTCTTAAAGTATAATTAAAATCTCGAGGTACAAATAATAAAATGGCTGACTCGCAATTAACATTTAGTGCAAGTAATCCAAACGTAAAACAATAGTCATTATAGATATGAAGCTCACAAACATCTCATAGGCCAGTCTCTGACTGAATACGCGAGTAATCATAATCGATTGGTGACATGGGGAACCCACTTCTGAACGACACAAATCTCAAAAATGTATGTTGTATTTTTTCAATCTCATATATTGCTTGCTGTGAATATGGTCTCCAGATCTGGGAGCAACACAATACGTGAGGCAATACAAGTGTTTTATACGAATAAACCAGTGTGCCCACATTAGTAAAATCCCTGCAGTATGGTATATGCAAGATTAACAAAATTATTTAACATTACGCTAATAAATAGAAATTCGCATAAAAACAATTTATTTTAAGATAGTAAAGAAGATTTACTTAAATAAATTTAAGGTTCACTGCACCCACAAATTAACCAGAGATAATGTAAAGTTGGTGTAGTGTTGGTAGACTAAAATTACTAATAAATTACTTCCTCGCTTATTCCTTAGGAATTCTCTATGTTATTTTGAAACTATTTTGAAGACCAACGTGCATCTGAAAAGAGGTGAATCATCTGCAAGATACTCGTACCTGCAGCACAATAACGATTTATGTACACGCACGCTGGTTTATGCTGACTGGAAATGAAAAACAAACACAATATTCTTCGATACATAAAAATAAAATAACAATAAATTTTAATTTTTGACTGGGAACACTTGAAGTGAAGGGTAATATTTAATCCGAATATAATTTTAGATAAGGATTCAACGACATAAGGCTAAATATTAAAATAACTTAGAGTTAATACATGTAAATAAGTGAAAATAATATAAAACACCAACATTGTCACGTACAGTTAACAACAACCCGTACACACTACACTAAAAGCAAGAAACAACATAACATATTAACTACGGTAAACTTAGTGAAGCAAGCTTATTCATTTTCGAAAAATTATCCGATTTTTACCATACATGTTCGTAGGCTGATCATTTAGCGACCAAAACAACTTTATAAATATACTGAAGTAGTCTAATTTAAAGTTTATTTAAATTCTACTACATTTTCAAATGTAAGGAAAAACGGGAAAGTCAACCCTTTCCCTTTTCCGGACTCAATGATGTCAAGAGAGAGTCTGTACTCCTGCCTCCAAACAGGGGTAACGAAATCTCTGATCTCCCAAGGTACCACGAGCCAACTCCCTCTCCAACGACTAGCAGCGAAGAACATCTTGACTAAAATTCTACCGAAATTCTGTATTATTTTTACAACATTATAAACAGTCAAAACTACCTGTAAACCAAATTATGTTAATTCGTGACAGGCAAAGTACTAGTATTTTGGATAGAGTAATTCCCTCGGAACCTCCACTTGCTTGTTTTTTGATAACTTGAACATTGTTTAGGGCTCACATCAATAATAAAGCTTGGTTTTTTTTGAGCAAAAATTTTTTATTTGTATACTTGTCAATATTTCGTCTCATCATTGAGACTTTTTTAAGACTGTTAACATATTGACATATATATAAGCTTATTGTACATAGATTATAAAGTAGAATAAGGGTAAAGATACAATACGTGTACACGGAGAGAGCTCTGAAGCTATGGTAGTATGCGTATCTATATAATACCAGAATACAGTGCGTCACATACTACAGATGTGCTCGTGGAACGCAACGGTAGTATCGAGAGTCTGCTACGGTAGTATGAAGACCTGTATATAACTGTAGATCGTGAAACGCACTACTAAAGCTTCTGCTTTATACTACAATAGCACCCTAGAGGTGCTGCATAAGTATCGAATCTCACATACTAAGTTAGCTTGGGACTCATACAATATTGGTATGGCTCACGAGCAAACGTAGTATACGTCGTCTGTACTACGCCACTATACTATTATTAGTAGGTTTGCAAGTTATTGTTATAACTTTAGGATCATTACAACCTAAAAAGGTGAGGACACCTAAATCAGGAATTTTAGTAAGTCTTGTCAGCAATGAGGGATCCAAAGCATAGTCAAGAAGTACCACCTCTCTAGACCTAGAAACCGAAATCACAGCACATTTTTTTACATTGGCTCTAACACCGTTAGCCTCGCTCCAATTTACAATCGCATCAAGATCACGCTGCAATATCTGACAATCAGAATCTTTCTATACACATTTATACACTTTGATGTCATCAGCAAACAAAAAAATTTAAGATCCATGTACGATATCCTTATAATCATTAACTTAAATAAAAAAAAGAAGCAGTACCAAGTGCAACCCCTGAGTGACTCCCGATCTAACAACTACACCATCAGATACAACCCCTTCCAAAAAAACAGCCTGCTTACGTTCAGTAAGGGGACGTGCACAAATTACTTAAGGGGTTTTTCTTCAATTTTCAACCCCCTCCTTCCCTCGTGTAAGGAACCGTAAGATTATCTGCACCTCCTTCCCTCTCCACGTTATCTTACGTAAGGATTTATTATTGCAATTCTTAACACATTACAATTATTTTCTTATTTTTTATTCTTCTAATGCTAAACTTATTTAATTACACTTAATATTTGTTCAGGAAAATTTAACAAATCTAATACTATTATAAATAGTAGTGACTAGTGCAACTATAGTATGTTATAATAAATAAAATTAGAGTTAAAAAAACCTATTGATCAATGGTCCATGGATTTTTAACCCACTATTCCATGGACTTCACAAGTGGTAAAAGATTTTTTTCTTGTAAATTTTATTTTTTAGCGTTGTTAATACAAGAAGTTGAATCGTGTTCATAAAATTATCACTTTTATCGATCCACTCTGCATTCATACAATCGATATCTTTATCTTCAATAATGCATAATACTACTTCTTTTTTTTTTGCTTAAATACGTGCAACCTTTAACTTTTTAGGTTGATTTTTTGTAATAATATGTCTTAAAACTTGAGCATGTAACTTAAGAGATTTTTTTAAAGCAAAATAATGTCCACACGTTGCACAAGTTCGGTTTAACGAATCTGACTGCGCGCTTTGACAATAAAAACCATAAGGTAATACTTTAAACTGGTCGTGATCAATAAAAACTATATTTTTTGCTGTTAACACTTGAAATAACTGTAGAAATTTAGAGTTTAGATCTTTTTCGTTGAACTTTTAAGCATTTATTTAATCTGTATCTTCATTTTGCTTGCAAAGGTTCGGAGGTGGAAGAAATCCAGTTGGTAAAACAGAGAGTACGTTGCTTCTTACTGATCCACAGCATATAATATTGCGACATTAACTTATCTGTAAAAAAGATTTATACACATTTTGATTACTTAGAAATTTTTTTAAACTTTTGCTTTTTTTTGATAAAAATGAAATTTTTTTTAATTTTCTGCAATTTTACCCGACTTACATAAAGTAAAAGAGTTACGTGAAAAATTTAAATCTACTATAAAATACGTAAAAT